AAACACCTCCTAAGATGGTTGTCATACTTACAAGTATCGCTGGATAACATGACATTCCTTCCTGAGGTTCTTTAACACAATTTCCTGGGGTGCTACCTCCTAAACCAGCACAGCACATACGAATAGCGCAGTCACTATGTTTCGTGCAATTCTTTACGGTCTATAGAAGATAAGAAGTACAGTTAGACCATGATCAAACGTCGAACTTCACTGGAGCCGAACCTMATGACATCAAAGAACACTGCCTTTTTACCTATTGTTTCAATTAGGTTCGGCTGATGTGAAGTTCGACGTTTGACGTGAGCCTAAGTAGCATACATCATACAAGACACTARACCTCCAAACCACACACCACACAACGCTACACCTCCACACATTAACACATTGCAGTCGACACCATACCACACTACACCTCTACACCATACCACACTACACACCATAATCAGTTAACCATTGGTCTCATGAACTTACCGCATTAATCCCCTTAGACTTGAGATGAGCTGTGTTATTGGTTAAAAATGAATATGGGGTACTCTGTTATCTTTGATTAGGGAACTTCATGAGTTATAGTATATTTGGGGAGCCGTGTGGATCATTTTGAGTTTTAAAACAAAGGGAGCGGGGTGATGGGTGGAGGGTGGTAGAAAAAATTGTCTGGCAAAAAAGGCATCTGGGATTAATGAGAAGACTCGTGTGGTTTTGATCAAATGATTTTGAGGATATAGAGACCGCATTATCAGCTTATATCAAACACACTTCTTACAGCACGTACACGGTACGACATGCCGTGACATCAGTCGTATGAAACGGTTTTCTATTGATTCTCTTTCAGGAGTTCGTATAGTACGGCTACAACTTACAATGTATTGACGTTTCCCACTCATACGAAAACCATTTATATATTTTTTATATTAAACTTACATTTAGCCTCAACAAAATACGCGGCAAACACGACAAAGCTCAGAAGGAAGAGGACACAGAGACGAAACATGTTGTGTCTGTAACAAAGAGAAAGATAAGCGAAATATTTAACAACAAAAAATGCTAAAACTAAAGAAGAAGTATTTACTGGTGCATAGATACTAGAAATAGTCGGCCCCAATTTTCAAAGATGGTGACAAAGGCGACACTGAATTATATAGAGGATATTACATGGGCGCGCGGAGATACGAATTTTATCTTGAGTGTTCAGTTGATATCTCACTCGTTCGCTGGGCTCACTCGTGAGATATCTAAATTGAACACGAGAAGATAAAATTCGTATCTCTAAGCGGCCATGTAATGTTCTGTTTATTATATAGATATCGATGAAGCTTAAATAAAACAAAAGCTCAAAAATTCTTTTTTAAAATACGTTACTATGTCAACAGTGATATCTTCACGTGTGAAAGATATGATATCTTCCACTGATGAAAGATATCAAGTTTTCGACACTAGAGAAAACCTGGTATTTCATCGATATCTGTATAATAAAGACCTATAACAGTTCTTCCTGCCGTCATTTCCAAACTTTCTGAAAACCCCATATTGAAGCAGCTACTATGAAAAATCCAACAACTTGTTAACGGAGTATCAATCATGCTTGCTCTTTTCACTTAACTCTAACTACTCTGCCTACAAAATACAATTTATTGGCTCAGCAACATCATGGACTGTGGTAAAATTAAAGTTCGCCGTTTTTACTTGTCTGAAGAATATCGATACATTTGATCATGATCTTCCTATGGCATTCACTAGCAATTATGAGCTGCAGTGATTTAGGTGATATCTTTCAGAGAAAGCAACAATGTTTCGTCAACGGGGTGCTGTCAAACTCCCATTGTGTTAAATGTGGAATCCCCCAGAGCTCTATCATTGGCCCACTTCTTTTTTCAATATATACATTAATAACCTTCCTGGATGCTTGACTCTTTCTAATTCTATCCCTAATAATATGCTGATGACTCCAATATCTAGTGATTCTGATATTAATGTTAATAAAACTCAAATAAATCATGATCTTGAATCACTATGCGGTGTTTCAGTTGAAATGTTGTCAAATCGTAACGGGATCTCATTATTAAAATAGGTGATTACCATCTTTAAAGAGTGAAATCCACAAAATCATTAGGGGTATATAATTCTCTACGTGGAACTAAGTGTGAATACCAGATATTACTAGAATAGAATTCGATTCAGTTGGCCAAAAATGATAACATGAAAGCTGGATAGTTTTGAAGACTATCCCTTACTAATTATTACCTTGAAGGTTGCTCGTCGATCTCTTGGTCGTGGCTTTGATTTTGGTCAGCGATAGTCGATGTTTTACTACACCTATAAGGTAGTTTTGGTCTAATATATGTTATGTCACCCGAAGATCTCTAAATAATAAATAAGCTATGATATATCACTGACTGGTACCTCCAAATACTGTCTGAAAATTAAGCCACGCAAAGAAGAACAAAGGCTTGTTATGATACGAAATTTTCTTTTCTTTACCCTTCTTTTTTCCTTTATTTTGAGTTTAGTGAAGATATATATTATAATAATAATAATAATAATAATAATAA